TCTAGTAAAATTGAAAACTCACTCTAATAAATATGTCAAATACCAAAACATTGATTTAGTTTAGTAAGACAATTAGCAGCAAAATGTTACCCACCCCACTTTGATTTTACATGATTTTTTTCAGGTCAATGACTGAGTGACTGACTAGCCTTTGTATTTGTTTGCTACTGGTGCAAGAAATTCTCACCATTTTGCTACACCTCATATGATCACTGTTTGATAGCATTTCATGCTCATCATAAAACTGGACTCATACTATTGACTCTGCATAAAGCAGATATGTCCTCTAAATCTTGATGGCTTTGCCACTTTTATTTACATTTGTTTGTTGTTGAAGAACTCACTCAGCAATATTGCTGCTAGATGATGGCAGACTGTTATTGTCATTATGATCAAAATGCAATACACATTTCCATCACATAGTACTTGCAATACACATGTATTGAAATAATGTAACAGCTACATCCATTCAAATTATATCTGCAGAAACATCTGGTGAACATACTTAACACACTTGACAAATGATCTTCAGGGTGACCTTTACATTCCCACAAACTTTTCAATTTCTAGACTCTTTCTCTGCTCTGAGGAAAACAAATACAAAATTACACTAATCATCAGTAAACATTAAAATGACCTTGACCCTTGACATGACTGATCAATGTGTTTTCCTAGCAGATTTACACCATAGCTAGCCATGTGGCAGAGATAACATTCAGACAAAAGGCTGCTTAAATACTCTTGTGATACTATTACAGGAGTTTCAGGGCATAAACATTAACAAGAAAATGTCCAATTATCAAGCATCAGAATACATGGCACTTAGTCATTATTTTCTCCGACTGAACAATACTTACACCATCACTAATCAGACAAAAACCTTGATGTTGAAAGACAAACTTTCAGTACTGGTAAATATCTTTTATAAATTTCTCTGGCCGATACCAAAAGTCTTTACTATTGTTCCTTATAATGTGGACAATAGTTACAGCAAAATAAAGATGGCAAGATGGATAGGTTGATTACTTGACAAACTTAATAACACCTGATGGTTCGAAAACCAATTTATACTGAACTAAAAACAGATCCATAAGATAGAAATAGTACAAATTTTATATATGTATATAAAACGCTTCTTGTTAAAATATGGACATATGTATTTCAGGTCTGTAATGATCCTTTGTTGAAACACAATCATTATGTATCATTCATTCATTTCATAATACCACCGGGAATAATTTTCTGAAGACCTTAAAAATACAGTCTTAAAAATGTTGTCTTTCAACTAGGTAACACCTTGAAATTTTTTAGACATGTTTTCACTCATGCTGAAACTATTAACAGTAGAAACATATATACTTCTAATCTGAAACAATTGTCTCCAAATTGCACAATTAACATCAAAATCAAATTGAATCTTGTTCTACAGCTAATATATGACTATTTGTACTGCAAACATTAACATACACACGTACTTATGAGTATACATTTATATTTGTCCATTCTCAACAACTATCAATCACCATAAATATCATCATATTATCAGCAATTATTCACACCTCTTTCCTGAATAATTGGTAAATGTATCATAGATCTTCTGGCTTCAAAATACATGCAAAATATTGGACTCAATAATTATGAACAATTTTTAAATATGTAGACGTATATACAGGAAGAATGCAAACCGCCTTGGCGGTGTAGTGGTTAGAGCGTCCGCCCCGGAGAACGGAAGGTCGCGGGTTCAATCCCCGACCGCGTCATACCAAAAGATGATAAAATATGGTACTTGTTGGTCCCTGCCTGGCGCTCGGCATAAATGGGTACAACAAGGACTGGTCGGCTCTGAGTCAGTATAATGTGTCTGAGTGGGGTATTCATGCTTCACTGCGGCATGGTATCTCAGTTGGCTAGCACTATAAAACCAGCTTAAGTCTGGGCTAGTATAAGCAGCCGCAAATACACATACACACGCATGCACGTCATCATACGAGCGAAATATTCTCAAGCATGACGTAAAACCCAATTTTACCTCACCTCACAGGAAGAATGCGGGGCTCATAGTGCTCTGCAGTTTTTCTGGATTAAGTACACATATCAGAAAATGGGTGATAATGAGTATGCAAAAACAATAGATACACTCACAGCATGAATATCACCGGTACTTCTTTACATACATATTTCATTAATGTTTCACAGAGGTTGAAGCTGTGAAATTTTTCATAATATACAGCCAACATATTACATTATTGTACATACAAAACATGTAAATTATGAGGAATTTCATGACATATATCATGTTCAATATAGCTATCAATATGGCGATGTTGTCATAGTGTTTCTATATACAACCATTAGCAAACATGTGGAGGGCAAAAGAAATATGTAACAGCTGCAGTTTTCAAATTCTGATAAACATGTTTCACTGATTTGGCAGACAGGTGGAGTGATCCTGTGAAAGCTAAATGAGTGTAGTCACAACACAAATCTGGTAGACATAGCCCTGCAGTGTTACAGGAGGATAAACACAGCTGATTATGTTGCTGCTGTCTGAACTATGTCGGCGATCAGAACATCAATATTACTGACTGGGGCTTTTGATTACAAGCACTGATATCACACCAAACACAACACTACAGAAATATGTGTGCTATTTACATCAATATTTACAAGAAATTTGGATGGGATATTGTTTCTCTTAATAACACTTAAAGAAATCACCGGTGATTCACAATACTAATTATTCAATACACATCAATGAGATCTTCCACTATCATTCGCAAGAAGAAAGAGACAAGCAATTAAGCATGAGTCAGGATAAGGAAAATTATATATAAAAGATACCTCTAAAATGTTCTAAAGTGTAGTAAGTAGAATACAAACAAGGTTAAAAAGAGGATTACAATAGTTTCTCAAAAACAAGCTAAGTAAATATCCAATAACAGTTAAACCCAATAACATAAAAGCATATCTTTGCAACAAGGTAGATATTTGCAATACATGTTGGTACATTTTTCAACACGTAAAATAGTTATAATTATAACCAGTAACAATGATCCTCAGTTTAAATTTACAGCCAATGTGATGTGTGAGATAATAATCCTCAGTTTAAATTTACAGCCAATGTGATTTGTGAGACTGTGGGAGGATCCTATAGTTTGGCCATTAAATGGAAACCAGGAACCTATCAAACAGACAAAATTACACGTATAGTGTGTCACTCTTTACTGTTCAGTTACACCCTTGCTTTATCAAAGAGATATTGCCTTGAAGGAGACTAAAAATATATTTGGACACGATTCAGATAAAATATATATTGCACATTCATTTAATCTTAATGTAGCAGTTTGCCCGTATATCTGAATATCACATATCTTTTTTGTGTGGCCCTCCATTAAAACTGTAGATATAATAGACTACACATAGATCATATGACCTCACAGGTAGTGATGCAACAAGGTATCACCTGTACTGATCATTTTCAAAATCTATCATACTTTTCTATTTATGAAAGTTTATATTTTCATAAATTCATTGTGTGAATGCACACTTGCACTTTACCAGTTGTATAATGTATATTTTACTCCTTGAAGAAAGTTTAGGGTGTTTGATGAAGGTTACACCATTCAAACTAACACTAACACACATCAACAACAATAACAAGAAAAGGATTGTAATAACTGACGAAAGAAGTGAAGGGCTCAGATGGAAAAAAGACATGGATATATGATCATAATATCATATTCAACACTCAAGTCACTATTTGTCAGTGTGGTATCTCAGATCTGTCATATTCTTTAACACACTTTGAGAACTGTAATATATGGTTGTCCAAGAAAATTCATCTTCAAATATTTAAGTAAAAGCAACATGTTTTTTTTCTAAAACTGACTCACATGTAAACTGACTTCACATGTAAAATAGGGGTTTATCCAATTTTTAAACTAGGTAGATTTAAGTGGGGCAGAGCATTGGGTTTAATATCTGAAAATGACTTCCTGTGTTTAATAGCAAAATAATTTGAATGATAATATTGTTCCACAGCTATCAGAGAATTCAAAATGGCAAATAGCAGAAAGTCATTATGTCATTTTGAAGTGAATGTTCAAGTTATACTACTTTTCTTTCCAAAACGATTTTGATGAACAAAATGACTCAAAAACAGATCTGCCCCAACCTTGTAGTCAACTTTGTGTGCAGACTCTTTCAGTGTTGTCACAACCCCTAGTGTACAGTACACAACCCAGTACACTTAAAAGAACCCACGAATCTGTTGACCAGATGGTGGCCACATGAATACATGCAAACACCAAGTTGCGGGTACAGAAACGAGCAGTAAACTTGGACAAACTGCTGTGCTTATGTGTTCAGTCCACCCAGCTGTGAATGGGTAACTTGTAAAGATGAGAAAGCCACACTAACTCAGTGCGCTTAGTGGCTGCGCTAGTTGTATGATCCCCAGGGAGTTGAGATTGATAATACGACGTAACGTTGAGATTGACATCCAGTGATTGAGGGAAAAACAAAGTGCCTTTGAGCAGCTGAGCTGGATATCGGCGCTATACAAATGTTAGCATAATAATAACAATAATAATAATAACCACTTGCGCATATCGTATGTTTAAATACATATGAAACTTCAATCCTCCATACAACAACAAAGAGGCTAGAATCAAATGTAAATTGTTTGAGCAAGTTTTGATGAGGCTGTTGCAAGATTATAAACATTCAATATTAAGAGTAAAACATGTTTGAAAACATGATATTCAATTAAAAACATGGATCTTCATATGACTGTCCAAAAATGGAATAATACTTTGCAACGGAAACTTCGAAAATGATGCAATTCTTCAATAATAGATTGCATGCAACAGATCGAAAATAACTGAAACTGTTACTAAAGAGAAACTGATTTGTTATAATGCAAAGTGTCTTTGAACATGAATGTTAAAGATTATGCGCATTACTATATACAACATTACATTTCTAACTTTAAATTCGGATATACTGTAAATCATGAAATTAATGCATTACCAAATTAATGTGAGTGTTGAGCCTGTGGCTAAAATGCATCCTCAAATTAATCCAAGTAGTTCTTCCTCTCAACTACAAAAATGTCATCAAAATGTAACACCAAGACTGTAGACTGTAGAGTCCATTATAATTGTTGTTGGGTGACAGCAGTTCAAATCATATCATTTGCTCTGTTCACAAACTTCAAATGTCTGACATGTCATCACATAATGTATCAACCACACATAACTCTGATCTTGGTGAGAGGCACAGTATGAATCTAGTCGATCATATTACTTATGATGAGCTTTGTGACATGTTACTGCTTTCAGCTAAGAGCTGTGAACCTGACATGACAATATATTGCAAAATGTCAGGATAAAAATGTGTCACGTTATTAAAGTCCAATTATGTTTTCACATCAGTTTCATTACTTACAGAATGCAAAAGACAGTGAAGCGTTCATATGTTGACCAGCAAGTAGCTCAGCATTTCATGCACAGAGAGATACAATACATCATTATTATTATCCATCATGTTATTGTGGATTCAGCTATTTCATTGATTAAGCTTCTAATACCTAATGCAGATCTTCTGTTGTTCTGCAACACACTGAGTTATCTCAGGCTGTCTCTGACATAGTCTTCCATCACAAATAACAAAACATATTTCATAGCAAGTTTAGGTGCTCAGATGTGGAATAAGCACACAGTTAGCACTATCAGACTACATGAAAGAATATATCACTTTCCAACAGGATAACTCACTGCATTGTTCTGAAAAAAGAAAAATATTTTTTGATATATTATATTAAAAAAATGTAGAAGAACTGCTTTGTGCAATTATGAAAAAATTCCAGTAACAAGTCCTAATCAAAATTTACATTCAGAAGTTAACCAGACCATAATAAACTCCTTTGTGTTTATTTTAACTTCGGATGCAAACAAGGTTTCTAACCTCCATTATGCTGACCATTTTCTTGTTCTTTGCCAAACCACAAGACCTCTCACCATTTTATGATGACTGACCACTTTGGCCTTTGAAAAGCCCAAGTTATCACCCAGAAACAATTTCAGGCAGTTGACCAATCAACTCAGAAATTTAAAAAAAATGACTTGGCTAATGAACTTTAAATATTGATTAAATCTTCTTCGCAACATATTTATCATCCAAGAGATCTAAGCTCAATTCATGACTGACCATTTGACCTTTGAGCTGAAACTCATGAGCAACATAAATTCTGTGAGAGGAAGTTGGATAATCTAGGAGTGGGTGAGTGAGTCTTAATGCAGTTTTGAACAGTATTCCACTAACATCATGGCATGTCAACTTAATATGGGAGTAAAACATAACATGATGCAAGAAATCCTCTTCATTGTCAACAACACATAACTAGTTTTCGAGATAATAGTACAGAGTGACAGTCAACCATTCATTGATCAGAGAGGTTAGAAAATGTCCTTATGGTTACCATGTGGTACAGATACCAGGAGATTTGAATTAAAATCTCCATTGATGGCCATATTCTGAACAGCATTTTCCTGTTATGTGTTGAGTAAGTTATTAAATACCAACTAATAACAGTTAGTTATTTAGTGTGAGTACATGGCCTCCAAAAAGAGATAATTTGACTCAGTTGAAATGATGACTCAAAAACACACACCTAAGAAGAAGAGCTAGATACCGCTTGAATACTAGCTGTGTGTAGTCCACAGTGAAGAAGGGCTTCTTGCTTAGTAAGTTAAACGTCTAGTTTTCGAACAACTTTCAGACAGCAAGTCTTACACTTCTTACTACCTAATGAATTAATATGTTCACAACAAAGTTATGTGCACTTCTGTATAATTGACCCCCCTTCTGGACAGAGAACGTACAATGCCATTAACTACATATACATTACAATGAACTTTAATTCAACCTTGACAATGACATTGAACATGACAATGTAACTTTAAAGATTTCCCTGGTCAAAAAGGTGATATACATGTTATAATATCCCTTGGATGTCAAAACCATTGTTGTTTTCAACACAAAGTCTGTCAAATTGAAACAAACCTTAAAGCATCCATTATTTACATGCCCAACATATATGTGGCTAAGTTACAAAAAGCGACATATCATGTCAGACAAAGATGTAATCACGCTGACTATGTCACGGTGAGCTACAAACAAATTTAACAGTATACATACCCATCAGACTATTTTCTCTCTCCAACTACAAACAAAATGATAATATTAGAACCAAGGTAAATTTGTTGAAATAACAACTGATAAACTTGTTGAGAGAAGAAATGCAAAATATGGTATCAATTTGTAATTAATTAGGTGAGCATTATGGTACTAGTTTCTAGTGGTGATTGAAAAAAATGGTACAATGAATGAGTCAGTAATATAGAAATATGTATGGTTTGTGCGTATGTCATTATTAATACAAAACACTTGATATGGATGTGCAACTTCTTTATTATTTAGACATGACGTTTCTGGGCTAAGAAGTCATTATTGCTTAATGCTGCATCAGCAATACTGGCCATTCACCGGTAAAAAAAGAGAGCTTTGCGTGTTCGCGCGTGGACATGCAAACTGGTATTACAGTCTTTGATGTTATGACATGAAACTTTGAAACACCATACTAGATCAATAGTCATACATGAGTGAGTTACATTGTCTGTTTGAGGAGAGGTCATACAAAGACAATGATTAGGTCCATGTCACATGAACACTTCATATCATATTTGTCTACAGCACTGAAGTTGTTGCCAATCCTAATTTGTTGTATAACTTTGAATTGCATATAGCCATGGTCATTCTGTTTTGTACCCACAGTTTCTTCTGAATGTAAGTTAAAGTTTTTGTTACATCTGTGAAACACTTAAGCTCCTAGAAAATGAAAATAATTAATCAACTGACTGATTGAGTTTAGTTTTACGCCGCTTTTAGCAATATTCCAGCAATATCACGGCGGGGGACACCAGAAATGGGCTTAACACATTGTGCCCATGTGGGGAATCGAACCCGGGTCTTCGGCGTGACGAGCCAACGCTTTAACCACTAGGCTACCCCACCGCCCCAATTAATCAACAGTTTTGCTCATTTTTCACATAGGAATGAACACACCTACAACATTTCAGATTCATCAGTCCAGCAGTATCAGAGGAAATGTATGGAGGAGATGTTAATTGCTGCAGTCTATCCTTTGGAAGAACTGTTTTATGAATACTCAGGTTATTTGCTTCTTAATCAGTTATCCACCGGAAAGAGATCACTCTGAAAGTTCTCCCCATCAAAAGAGTAAAGCACTGGATGGCCAAAGTTGAATAGTACAACTTTTTCCACAACAACATTCCTATATGTCAGTCATATCTTTTCAAAGTCTCCCTTGAGACTGCCAGAAACCTATGATTTTGTGTTCAAATCCTGTTTTGCCCTTACTATGTTTCCATGTTTGTCAGGAACACCTGTGCTTGTTGGTTTCACATAATTAATGACCTGTAGTGGCAGACCTGTTCGGTGGGACCTAAAATTGCAATTTACAATAGTTTCAGCTTATTCTCCACATAATCTGGTGACACCAACTGAGACTCACATACCCATCTTAAGGAACAGCACGACCACAGTTGCAATTCCAAATATCAGTCCCAAAACACTGACAAAGACAGCCCCGATGAAGATTCCCTCAGAAGATGCTGAGAAAGAATAAAATTTGGTTTATTTATTTCATATTGGGAGTAATTTGTACAATCAATCATGAAAATACTGCAAATAATATAACTGAAGCAAGGTAACCTGTGTATGACCTGCAATATTTGCTGTAATATGCATCAATGGATACGATAACAAGGCAATTATATATTCCTCTTGGGTTCTAATTTTTTTTAAAAAAGGAAAAAACATGTCAAGGAAAGAATGCCATGTAAATTTCGGTTTTAGTAGGTTGCCCTCATAAAGACTTCAAAGAATTGCACTAGAAGTTCACCAGGAAACACTTATTGGAACAGACAAAGAGGCAAATGTGGTACATTTTACTTCCATATCAATGTGTTTAACATCTCCATAATATCAGTTTAATCCTGACATTCCAGCATCTTTTTACCTCAGACTCATTCATTCAATATTTCTCAAAATGTTTATCATCCAAAAACCAGTGCCATACATCTGTAACGAGACACATGACTTTACTTATTATGTCCTTTAACTGAGTACAGTTCTAACAAAATGACCAGTATGTGAGAATCTTACCTCCATTACACTTTGCTGCTTTCAGACCAATGAATATTACAGTTATCAATATCAGAATGGCTCCACAGGCAATTGTTGCAATCCGCAGATATTTTCTCTTTTCTGGAAGATCCAATTGGCAATTAATAGAGGACAGTAGATAACAATACTTGTACTTGATTGATGTACACATGAAGATCCAGGTTAGAATTGGTCTTGTTTGTCGTAAAAGGCAACTAGTGGGATTGGGTGGTCAGGCTCATTGACTTGGTTGGCACATGTCATCGTATCCGAATTGCATAGATCATGCTGTTGATCACTGGGTTGCCTGGTCCAGACTCATTTATTTACAGACTGGTTCCTTATAGCTGGAATATTACTGAGTGTAGTAGTAAAAAACAAACAAACATCATTGAAGTACATGGAATACATTTCTTTAAAGGTCACATGCAACGTAAAACACAACTTTGCAGATTCTGATACCTTTCGGTATGGACATACCGAAACAAATCGTCAAAAATGCAAATTCAACTTATAAAGTTGAAAAAAAACGCGCGAAATCGGAGTTCAAACGTTTCACTAATTTTCCCCAGTCTTTTCTGGGGAAAACGGGTTTCAACAGCTGGGCTGCGCTCATAGCACGTGCGCAAGTAAATAGGTTCGCGCAGCTTGGAAGCGGGTTGTCGGGTGAATACTCGGTGAAGGCTTTGGTGTGAGCTATTTTTCTAATGTTTTGTTGATATCTCACAGGCGCGAGCTTTTTATATGTTATGACAGTAAATTAACTGTTTATATAATTTCATTTGTCTATTTCACCATACGTTCTTCTTACCGAGACACTTTCTCAGATCGATACTTAAAAGCAATGTCATTATTTAGCTGTTGACAGAATTTCTAACTGTGATATAGATATGTCGTTGTCACAGACAAAACTCAATGTCTTGTTTTATTGACACCTGTGTGTCTGCCTGCCTGTCTGCTAATGACAATATTCAATACACAGCTGCTATCACTGACCACATGCAATTTGAACTTAACACCAATCAGGCTATACACCATAAACAAAATGCATTGACTTATGGCCCGAGTTCGGTCTCTGTCACATTATGTAATTACACAGACAGGCAGGTGTGATACTTGAACACATGACATGTTATGATGTCTGTTGATTGCAAAATGTTATACACAAAAAATGAGCATGTATTTACAAAACCCAACATCTCTATATACACACACACAATGAGCAGTGCATGAGGGCGGCATCTGCAAATGAACCAGCCGTTACACTTGAGTGCACACCCACCCGCTCTGACTGGGTTCGGTATCCCGGCTGCTTCGTTTTGAGGGAGGTAAACCCAAGTAGAAAATATTGCACTTTTGATTTGCGATTATACGCTTATAATTTTGTTTATTTGTTTTTTCATAATCAGCAATGCATATTATATGTCATGAAGAACCCAAGATGCATCATGTAACAAATCACCAAGAAAAATCATGTCTTGAAGGAGCTGAGAACCGATTGGCCATTAAGATATTCTTGGACACAGACCAGGTGGATATGGGGGAATAACCATGGGCTTATCAAGATTCTGAATGGAATTAACAGGAACTGAGGTATACTGTAAACAAGGGATAAATGACCCTGTAGATTCACGCTGAATAGCCTATCTCCATGACATTGTCTTTATTGTAATTTCCGGACAGATTCCACCTGGAACTTCTTCAAATCTGTCTACAGGTACTCTGCAAACCTTAGCCATCAGAAGATAACATATCCCCCCGGCCCCACATGTTTGAAAGAACAAATCATCTGACAGTTACTTAAAGTCCAGCTTGATTTTACACTAAGTGCAAATCGTTTCCATGGAAATGATGAAAAACATAAATGAAAAAAATCAGCAAAAAGCAAAAGGCACCATTTCAAGATCTCCCTCACATAGCTGCCAAGTTTTACTGAAAGATATTAAGAAGTTTTTGAAACGAAACCCACCCCTCCCTTTTGAGACAAGTCTAAATCATTTCCATGGAAACCCAAAAAAATAAAAATGCCAAAAATCTGTAAATAGCAAAAGGCTCACATCAAGATCTGTCTCATATATCTGCCAAGTTTTGCTGAAAGATATTAAGAAGTTTTCCAGTTGTGCTCCGGAAACGGAACCCACCTCTCCCTTTTGGGACTAAGTCAGAATCGTTTCCATGGAAACCGGGAAAAATAAAAATGCCAAAAGTCTGCAAATAGCAAAAGGCACCACTTAAGGATCTGTTTGATATATCTACCAATTTTTGTTGAAAAATATTGAAAGGTTTTTGAGTTATGCTCCGGAAACGAAGCCCACCCCACTTTAAGACTAAGTCCGAATTGTTTCCATGGAAACCGAGAAAAATAATAATGACAAAAATCTGTAAATAGCAAAAGGCACCACCTTAGGTTCTGTTTGATATTTCTACCAATTTTTGTTGAACAAGAAGACAAAGTCATCAATATCCCCCGCAATGGCGAAATACTCTTCATGATTATGTCTACGAGTTATGATTATGTCAAATATTTAGGTGTGTATATAGAAAAGTGGAAGGAGAGTATTGAAAGATTTTTAAATTTCTGCTCCAGAAAGGAGCACTATCACCAATTTCAGTCTATGTCAAATTTGTTGCCATGGAAATGCCAAAAATATTTTATTCAGAAATCCAAAACTACCAAAAGGCACCAGTACACCACCAGATCAATCTATGTGCCAAGTTTGGTGAAGAAACATTGAACGGTTTTAGAGTTTTGCTCCGGAAAAGTGCACTACCACTAATTTCAGGCTAAGTCAAACTTGTTGCCATGGAAACGCCAAAAATGTTTTATTCAGAATTCCAAAACTACCAAAACGCACCAGTACACCACCAGATCTATCTATGTGCCAAGTTTGGTGAAGAAATAGTGAACGGTTGCAGAGTTCTGTACCGGAAAAGATCACTACCACTAATTTCATTCTAAGTCAAACTTGTTGCCATGGAAACGCCAAAAATGTTTTATTAATAATTCCAAAACTACCAAAAGGCACCAGTACACCACCAGATCTATGTATGTGCCAAGTTTGGTGAAGAAATAGTGAACGGTTTTAGAGTTCTGCTCCAGAAAATACAAATGTGCCCGGACGGACGTGCAAGTAGCATAAGGCACCACTTAAGGTTCTGTTTGATATATCTACCAAGTTTTGTTGAAAAATATTTAACGGTTCTTGAGTTGTGCTCCAGAAATGAAACCCACCCCTCCCTTTTGAGACTAAGTCTGAATCGTTTCCATGGAAACCGGGAAAATAAAAATGCCAAAATTCTGCAAATAGTAAAAGGCACCACTTAAGGTTCTGTTTGATATATCTACCAAGTTTTGTTGAAAAATATCGAACGGTCTTTGAGTTATGCTCCAGAAACAAAATGATTATGGACGGACGGACAGACGGACGAGGCAACGACTATATCTCCCACGCATTACATGCCATGGGGATAAAAATGAAGCAGATAACACCATTACAGAGATCAGAACACACCATACACGTACTTATAGTATACACATGTGAATGTCCCCAAAATATGAACCAATAACAAGTTACATTGGAATACATAGTGAAAAACAGACTACTTTAAGTGAAAGGTAATTGTTTGATTGGCTTTCTATAAGTTGGTGAGCCAATAATGAAGCATACAACTTCTTGTTTATTGCTTTTATTACGTGTGGATTCTTACATTGTTATCAAGCTAAAATACAGGATTCATGGCACTTTAACTTGAAAATGGTTTTAGAATCTACACTGAAACGTCTCTCTATGCAGTAAACAAACAGTTGTCATCCAAAAAGTTGTATGCTTCATCATAAACTAAAAGGCACTAGAAACAGTAGGCCTGCATAACCAAGTGCTAGGGTGAAGCAGCTAATATTTAGAGGAAACTTATCACACATGGGAAAGAAATGAGGATTTTTCTGCCTTTGCAGAAGAGATAAAAAGATGCTTGGTGCTCTTGACTTTGAAGAGGATTTCTGTTGAAATTTTGCTTGTTTAGTAACAGTGTGATTGCAGCCCAAATACAGCATTTATGGCAATGATGTAACAGAAGTAGAGGATTAGCAATAGTTATTAATAAACAAGTATCCTGACCTTGTTGAGAGTAAGGACTACAAAGAAGTTTGTGGCTCCCCTTTCGAATGTCAGTCCCACTTTTGTGTCACGTTTTGGCCTGAAGGGCCCTTAATTTGTGTCAAATTTAATGAACACTAACACAAGTTTGTCGCACAAGTTCAGTCAGGTTTTGTGACAGTCGACTTACCACCCTTGAAATTTTCGACAACTGTTTACAGTCTTACACAAAGAAAAGAAAAAGCAGAATACATATGGATGCATATCAGTTGCCGAAACTCTACATCATGACTTACTGTCATCTCTCTTTGGTACAATCTCAACTTGTCTGCCAGGCACGCTTCCTGGAAGAAGAGAAAGTAAAAGCACATCATACAAAAGCATAAAGTAAACAAGAGTCATCATAAGATGACAAATCCCCCCGGCCCCCATAAATTTGAAAGAACAAATCAACTGACAGTTACTTAAAGTCCAACTTGACTTTTTAGGACAAAGTCCGAATCATTTCCATGGAAACCAAGAAAAATAAATATGACAAAAACCTGCAAATCGCAAAAGGCACCACTTTAGGTTCTGTTTGATATATCAACCAAGTCTTGCAGAAAGATATTGAACGTTTTCGGAGTTGTGCTCCGGAAAAGAAGCTCATCCCTCCCTTTTGAGACTAAGTCCGAAACATTTCCATGGAAACCAATAAAAATACAAACGATAAAAATCTGGAAATAGCAAAAGGCACCACTTTGGGATCTGTCTCATATATCTGCCAAGTTCTGTTGAAAGATATTGAACGGTTTTCAAGTTGTGCTCCGCGGAAAGGAAGCCCACCCCTCCCTTTTGAGACTAAGGCCAAAATGTTACCATGGAAACCAAGAAAAATAAAAATGCCAAAAATCTGCAAATAGCAAAAGGCACCACTTTGGGATCTGCCTCACATATCTGCCAAGTTTTGCTTATAGATATTAAGAAGTTTTCGAGTTGTGCTCCGGAAACGAAGTACACCCCTCCCTTTTGAAAATAATAAATCACAAAAGTCTGTAAATAGCAAAAGGCACCACTTTAGGTTCTGTTTGATATATCTACCAAATCTTGAAGAAAGATATTAAGAAGTTTTCGAGTCATGCTCCGGAAACGAAGTCCACAAATAAATCACAAAAGTCTGTAAATAGCAAAAGGCACCACTTTAGGTACTGTTTGATATATCTACAAAGTTTTGCAGAAAAATATTGAATAGTTTTTGAGTTATGCTCCGGAAACAAAGCCCACCCCTCCCTTTAAGACTAAGTCCAAATCGTTTCCATGGAAGCCCGGGACAAAAAAATATGCCAAAAATCTTTAAATAGCAAAAGGCACCACCTTAGGTTCTGTTTGATATATCCACCAATTTTTGTTGAAAAATATTGAACGGTTTTTGAGTTATGCTCTCGGACGGACAGACGAGGCGTCAACTATATCCATCCCCATTACATGCCAGGGGGATAACAATAATAGCAGATTGTTCAATTACATAATGATTGCTTGACTGAGTTTGTGCAGAAACAACATGAGCAGGAGTGAATTAAGAAAAACACATTTATTGTAAGTAAACGAGCCGGCCTGACAAAAGCTTAATGTGCAGAGGCATTAGCCTGCCTGGGCAGGGTGAAGATGGAAGAATTTGATTTATGAGAATTGGGGGATATATTATGAATTACAATGCCCCCCAGGATAGTATGTATTAACTTAAGTATAGGTTAGACCTGAGAACATGTAGTGAAAAGAAGTAGGTAAGTTGAACCGAGCACAGCTCCGAGGAGGAAGCCTGGGGTGGAGGTGGGCTTCAAAATACCAACCAACATGGCGCTAGAACTGAACAAGACAAAGGAACATGGACTGCATGCGCAGAACCACATGTGCGCAGGATTAGGTGATGTCATGCACATGTAAAGCTAATTATGAGCTATTAAGCATTTTTGAAACAAAATATATATGTAGGGGATTTATATGGATTTGTAGAAGAAAAATAGGAGTACGTGGGTAAAGAATATAATATAATTAACGAGCTAGATGTACAGTGCCTAAACGGAAGTAGAATACGAAACTGTATGCGGAAGTGAATCAGTAAGAAAGTTGCGACTGATGGACCTACGAAGTTAAAGTTAGTGTGTGTGTGTGTGTGTGTGTGTGTGTGTGTGTGAGGCGGGTGAGTAGGTATAGTTGAACTAGAATAAGGGAGCAAGATAATCCGCTAGATTATTATGATACTGTATATGAAGCAATGTAGTTGTGCCAAGACAAATGTACTGAGTTACGTACTACTTGTTTCTTCACAAACAAAAACATAACATTTACATTTTGTGCAGAAACATCATGAGTAGGAGTGAATTAAGAAAAACACATTTATTGTAAATACACACATAATATTGGCCGGAATGAGATAAAAATACATTCATTATACATACACATATAATACTATTTGGCACATAATTGGGAGCTGGCTCGGTTGCTACTTACTGATATTTACTAAGATTAGTTGCAGGGGACGAGGCGGCCTGACAAAAGCTTAATGTGCAGAGGCATTAGCCGGCCTGCGCAGGGTGAAGATGGAAGAATTTGATTTATGAGAATTGGGGGATATATTATGAATTACAATGCCCCAAACGAGGTACGGTAGCAACCAAGAGCCCCCAATGATATAGTGTAATAGCAGATTGTTCAATTACATAATGATTGCTCCTTTAAAGGAACTTGATCAAGTGAGTGAGTGAGTGTGTGTGTGTGGTTGGGGTTAAGTTCAACACTGCTCAATAAGAAAGGAAAAAGCCCAAAGAGATGACACAAACAGTGTTTTCATATTGGTCATATTGTTTATGAAAAGGAAGAATAAGGAAGGTCAACCAAGTTAGATAAAATGGAATAGGTACTTTCAAATACTGAGTAGGTGAACTGAAACATAGTTTCCAAGCTTGACTGAGTTAATGAACATCTACCACTGAAATATATTCATGTTTCTGCAGTGCTGAGGTAGTCAGATTATGCATACTTAATTTCACATAAAGCATGTAGTGTTAAGTTGCACCCTAGACTTACTTTCGGTAATTTCCTTTGCTTTTATAGACTTCTTGAGAACAATATGAACTTCTTTCTCGTCTATTTCGGGTGTCACCTGTGAACACATCAGAAATAGGACAATCAATTCAATGGACTTTACTTGAGGGGCTTCATTTCACTCAAACTCAAAGAATATTGAATCAGTTGCTTCACTGCATATTCTAACATGTCGTTTAAAGTGCCCATTAAGCACACAGAAAGTTGCATTTACCTCACCATGTTTCAGTTTATATATGACTATCAAATTTTGGAGTGTTCCAGTACTTTTTCTTTTAGTAGTATATATTGTTTCAGGGTCAGTAAAACAGACTAGGGGTATGAAAAATAATATTAATTAAAGAACTTTGGCATATTGCTGGTTTAATTTTAAGTTTGCCAGGTCGGGCTTTCTGCAGTTATGCTGTTTCAATTGCACGTAACATTAGCAGTTGCATCCATTGTCAATTTTTATGCGTATAGGATGCATACATACAAATTGAGAATGGACAGCAGTGTAAAGTGTTGCGCTTTTGAAAAGGAAATATATCAAAACTGAGTCCCTGTTATTATTGAAGAGCAATGGCCACAAAAGGCATACTGTAATCTAGGTTGGTAGTAGAAATTCGAACTAACCTGTAGAGGTTTAAGATTCTTTGAATATATTCCTCCTTGGGGTACTTATAAGCATTTAAATGTCCATTTAAATTCCCTACGACAGTTGTAACAATATTTGAATAAAATATTTACAAAACAAAAACTACGTTTTGTCTTGTGAGACCACCCTTACAGGGCCTTCCGGCCCCCTACAGCCAAGAGCAGGTAACTCTAGACCGTAACCTCGTACCTCACTTTCCATGCTGAACTAAGTCAGACAGAATGCGGGAGGTGGGTGGATGCAGAATCAAGGAGGAATATATTCAAAGAATCTTAAACCTCTACAGGTTAGTTCGATTCTTTTTATATATTCCTCCTTGGGGTACTTATAAGCATAAGACAGACTCCTAAAGACGGATCTCAGGAGCTGCATTCTGTCTGCTTAAACACCCCGACAAGAAGTGGAATTTCCCAAGCTAATTATAGCAGAAAAGGCACACTTACCCGTCACGCGGTCCACCAAAGCCAATCAGGCGGGGCATGAGCCAGGGTCAGGGTAAACGATGCAAATTTGTCCAGCTTAAACCTCGCTAATGCAACGAACGAGACACACCCTCCCTCCTTCCCCGTAATCTACTCGAAGTGAAGATAAGGGTCCCGCAATAAACCCAGAAACGAAATGCCGGAATATGAACAGCAAAGTTTCCAAGGGCAGTTTAGTCTAGAGCTTCTCGGTTAGAAAGCAAGAGACATGGGAATAAAAAACCAGCACCACATAAAACCCATCACCAAGGGAAAATGTAACAAGATTTGTAAAACCCAACACCAGTGTTAAAAATTGGCAGATAATGGTTCACACAATAATGTTTTAAAAACCTCGAAGCTCAATCGGCTAGAGAGGTGGAACCATGCCCACTGGAGAGAACTGACTGACCGAACCGAAAGCACGCCACTGGAGAGTCTGTCAAGTTGGTAATGACGGATGAACGCATTCGACGGCTCCAAATAGCCGCTGAGCAGATCTCCTCAATGGGCAGGGCTGCAGCGTAAGCTGTCGATGTAGCCACTGCCCTAACCGAATGAGCTTTCAACCCAACAGGCGGATACTCTGTTTGAGTATAACTCAAATGTATGGCAGAGACAAGCCACCGAGAAATGGTCTGCTTGGTCGCCGAAGACCAGCCTGAACCCCGCCATAACAACAAAACAATTGGTTACCCTTACGGGTACCCCTTTGTTCGCTTGATATAAGCCTGAAGTGTCTTACGGACATCTAAGACGCGAGCACGCCGTAGAGAGGTACCGGACAGGGAAGGCTGAGTGAAAGCTGGGAGCTCAATAGGCTACCGGCCACATGGAAGGGACTATCCTTCTTAGGACGGTAAGTCTCAGGCAGCCAATGCTAACTCTGTCTTTGTGAAAATAGTAAGCTGGATCGGCCGACATTGCATGAATATCGCCAACCCGCCTGCCAGAAGTCACCGCCACAAGAAACGCCGCCTTCCACGCCAACAGCTGGAGGGAAAGAGCCGACAGATTGTGAAACAGTGGACCGGACAGCCAATCAAGAACGATTGACAAGTCCCATCGGGGACTAATCCGTCCGGACAACCGGACGGATTCTGTCCACGCTTCGCTAAAAGCGCTGTACAAGAGGGTGCTGCCCCAAGAGAGCACCGGCCAACAGGAATATGAAACGCAGAAATAGCCGTAGAATATCCTCGAACAGTGGAAGCCGCTAGACCGCTTCCAACCGAGACTGGAGGAATTCCAACACACAGACTAAATCTGTAGAAAAGGGATCAAGAATCCCCTGTTGACACACCAGCCAATAACAGGCCCATCTATCCTCATATTGAACGCTTGTCGAATCCCTCCGCCGAAGCCAGAATTGTGTCTGCAACTGGTGCAGGAATTCCGCCGCGATGGAGGCGATCCCGATAGCGGCCAAGCCACCCACTGAATACTGGGATTCGGTGGGCCCGCTCTGGGATAGGAGGTCCGGTCGAAAAGGTAATAGAACAGGAGGCTGAGCCAGAAACCTGAGAATTACCGAAACCAGCTTTGTGCCGACCAAAGGGGTGCCAGAAGCACAAGTAGCCGAGCTGGTTGTGCGGTCAGCTGCGACAGGACCCTGGAAATCAGTGGTATCGGGGAACGCCCACAGTACCCTGTCCGTCCAATCTAGCTGAAAGGCGCTGCTATTAACGCACCCGATCCGAATCCGAGCAAAACACAGGAATCTGGTTCGCCACCCCAGACGCTAAACAGATCCACCTGGAACGACCAACAACTGGGAGATAATCCCAATATCTCCCGGTCGAAAGCATCCACTGCGTGGGGCTAGTATACCGCGGAGAGAGCATCTGCACGGACGCTTGTCTACCCCCGGAGATAAACAGGCAAAACCCGAATGTTGAACTGATCGCACCACAGTAGAAACTGCCACGCCTCCTGAAGGAGCCGACGGAGACACTGTGCCGCCTTGCTTGAGAATGTAAGACATGGCCGCTTGATTGTCCATTTCTAGATCGAACCACACGGCCCTGCACCAACACCCTGAAGCACTCAACACCCTGCGGACTGCTCTCAGTTCTAACACATTGATGTGTAGGTTGACCTCCCCGCCCCACCAGAGGCCGGAGGCTGAGTGCTCGCCCAGGACCCCCAACCTGTGAGGGAGGCGTCCGCCTGAACTGAGAGGAAGGTGTCGGGTGTCGAGGGGATCCCCTGACAAATTCCCGACGTCCGGCCCACCATCGCAAGTGAGGGATTAACCACTCTGGCGCTATGAGCATAATCTCGTGAGCCCTGCGAAAGGGGACCACAGCTGAGCTAATGCTTGCTGAATTGGTCGCGATCCTCAAACGCCGCGACGCCAAACCACGCCCACTGTCGCCGCCATGTTGCCGGAAAGCAACCGGGCCATGTTCGGGCCGACGCAACGGGGTACTGGAGGAACTGTAACACAGTCCCCCGGACTTTGACGATGCGGTCCGGAGCAAGGGAAACAATCCCTAGCGCCGTGTTGAATCTGGCTCCCAAGAATATCAGATCCTGCGTCGGAACGAGGTCTGATTTCTTGAGATTGATAATCCAGCCCAGTGACACCAGAGTATCCAGCACGCACAGTGTGGAGGCTCTGCTTAACTGAGGCCCTAAGGCCCGTGAAGCCAATCGCCCAGGTACGGGGTGACAACACCTGCCCCGAGACCTGGCTAACTGAGCTGGGATTCGCATAAGTTTGGTGAACACCCTTGGCCCGTGGAGATGCCGAAGGGGAGCACGCTTGAAACTGGTAGCACGCCCCGTCGAGGAGAACCGGAGGTACTTCTTGAATTCGGGTGCATTGGAACATGGAGGTATGCGTCTTTGAGATCGATTGACGTAAGCCAATCCCCTGTCTCGACGGAGGAGATCACTGACCTGAGTGTCTCCATCCTGAAAGACGGCACCTCCAGTAATTTGTTCAGCCCTCTGAGATTCAGAATGGGTCTGAACCCTCCGTCCTTTTTGGTCACGAGGAAGTAGGTGGAATAAAACCCCTCTTCTCGCTGACTCACAGGAACCACCTCGATGGCCGCCTTGGTCAGTAAAGACTGAACCTCGGCACGGAGGACTTCCGCCTTGTCGCGGGGGGTCGGCACAGGCGTGGACAGGACCCAGGGATTTGAGGTGGCTGCCTCCCACTCCCGGAGGAATAGGGACAGCCGGCCGCCGACAGGGACGTGTGGCAAGAGGCAGTGCACCCCCACCGTCGGCAAGTCTCCGCTTGCGTGAGTGGGGGGCAACAAGGGCTCTGGGGAATGAATCAGTGGGAAGCCGGGGCTGGCTTCCCCTTGCCCCGAAAAGACTGCTGCGCTGGAGCAGGCTTGCCCCTGCCTCTCGTGCGCCTGCTCCGCTTGGACTGCAAAGGGGCAGCCCACTTAACATCCTTCGCCGAGGCAGAAGGGTAAGCGGACGCAAGCGGGGAGGGCCGATGGCGAGGAGCGGAGGGCTGCTCCAACAAAGGCTTTGAGTCCTTAAAGGTAGAGACAGCCTCCGCGGCCTCCCGTACCACCTGCAAGGCCCCAGGGAACAGGGAAGATCCCATGGTATAGGGCAATGACAGTAGAGCTTGCTGTGTGGCCGGCGAATACCGCGCCACAGACAGCCACAGGCGGCGCAAGCCCATGACGGCTCCCATCATCTGGCTGGCACAGCACCGAATGCTGTCCCGAGCCAGATGCGAAGTGTATCCCGTTAACTGCCGGGGTGAGCACCGACTGATGAATCGGCACCGCCAGCTGTGGGCCACCAGCTGTCCCTGCAACGGGACAGGTAGGCTGAATGGACTGCTACTTTAAGTTGTTGAGCACAAGACCGGTAACATTCTTCGAATGACCGGTAGGCAGACTTCAGCGGCAGTGACGTACTAGCCGGAAAAGGGGGGAGACGCCTGCCCTGCCTGGCCGAGGCCAGGGAAGACGAAGACGACCCTCCTAACGTGACTGAGGCAAAGACGCATTCGTCCACCACTGGTGGTTCGAAGAGCGTCTCCGCACCTAACTGGTACCGCCGGCCGACTTCAGGCAAATCAAAACGCGATCGAGTACCAGCCAGGAGCGGATTCACCACCTCACTGACCAGTGATGGGAGAATGCGCAAGCGTGCCTCTGCGACCTGGTTGGGTGCAAACGCCTCCCCCGGGAGCCGAAACTCCGCGGGGTCGGGTGCCGGGACGGGAACAGCCACCTGCGGCAGGACTTCGGCGATTTTCTCCCGAACCTGCCGCAGGGACGAGGCAAAGGAGTACGGCACTCCCGCCTCCGATTCCACCGTCCCTTCCTCCTCCTCCATATCGACCTCGGCAGAATCCTCGGCCGCCATAATCTCAGACTCCTGAGAGAGCGCCGAGGAGACGCCAGAGGCAGGACCAGAAAAACTCATAAGGTCAAGAGGAGCCAGGGGAAAACATCGCCTGCCGGGAGGAACTCAGCCAGGTCGCCGAAGTCGCCCGAGAGGAACCTGCCGCAACAGGCTTCCCGGGCAACCCCGACTGGCTGCCGGGCGCCGAGGTATCCCCGAACTGGTCGGCGCCTAGGCGACCGCCAGTCGGGACACCAGGCAATGACAGGGGCAACCCTGTATCGCCGGCACCAGGCACCTGTGACAGACCAGTGCATAAAGCCAGGTCGTCACCAGACGCCGAGGGCATGCCGTCACCAGGGCCGAAGCCAGGATCAAGCCGCCCGGGGGGAGGCGCGTTCTCCGGGCCGCAGCCAACCCCCCCAGATGTGTCAGCCCCGCCCCCGACGACCGGCGCGCTGAGCTCCTTACGGAACCCCGCTAACGCCATATCAATCAGGGACTTGACTGACGACATCTGCTCCTGGAAGAAAACGGTTAACGAATCAACAGGAACACTTTTTACAGGTGCTGAATCAAGAGGGGGGGTGGCGGGTACAGAGACGGAAGCAGTAGGAGATGCAGAAGGGGCATGAGTGCGTGAAGACGAAGCCGCCTTGGTCGCCTTAGCTTTCTTGGGAGCCGGCTCCACGTGGGAAGCGGCTCCCGTGGACCCCTTTTTTACTATGGGAGCGCTTTGGACGGGGATCCTGTGCCCAGAGATCACCCCGCCCAAGCAAGTTGCCGTAAAACAGCGCTAGTCTATCCGCCAATGGTTTGGGGCGCGAACTTGGCACATGCCGCACACCCCTCTTCCTCATGTTCCTTCTGCACTAAACAGCGTAAGCAGACCTCGTGGGTATCCCGTACGGGAATTGCAGCAAGGCACGGCACAGGGTTTAAACTGCAACAAGTAAAACCTGTGCAGCAATCCTATACCCACATACAAATACATGTAAAAGACGCATGGGCTTACACCACTAATGCGACAACGTGGCATGCAGTTGACAACCTAGTACATACTGCAGCATAACTAACAATTACGCTTTTTAGCTGCATATAGAAAATGCGAGCAGTAGACATACCTACACGCATAAAGATACAAATAAAAATCACTAAAACCACCTGTAACATTGAAAACCACAGGGGAAACCAATGAACAGGAAGGCTAGCGAAGGCACCTGTCCGCCATCTTGCCACGCACTAGCGAGCCGACCGCGACAGGTACCAAGTTACAACGAGAAATTATGAATGAAAAAATTCAGAAAACACCTCAAATTCGCCCATGCCGGGAAAAAAGAGAACCATACATACAGTTGCCGTTTCTGAAACACTCATAACTCTCTTAGTCGCAAGGAAAAACCTTCTGGTATGGACCCACGTCTTGTCGGTACAACGACAGCATGGAAAGTGAGGTACGAGGTTACGGTCTAGAGTTACCTGCTCTTGGCTGTAGGGGGCCGGCCGGAAGGCCCTGTAAGGGTGGTCTCACAAGACAAAACGTAGTTTTTGTTTTGTAAATATTTTATTCAAATAATGGTCAAATGGGTCATCAAGCTGCTAATATGATGAACATTTTTATCAGGCCATAATCTTACATGATTTAAAAGTGTATAATAACTTAACAAGTCGGAGAGCGTGATATATTTATGGTACAAAATGACCCCATGAAAATTCACTAGCCAGTTGGGCCAGTGACTGTGGAGATTTACTGGCCTGACTGGATTTTTACTAGCTATGGGGTAGCGGGCCATTGTCTATTTCGCACACTGAATGGGGTAGGGTAATATAATATTTTCATGAGAATAGTGCACACTTGAGTATAATTGCTATTTGGAATATTGTGCCCAGTCACAAAACTATGTTGTATCATCTCTGGTGAATGAACAAAGAAAGTTTGTTCACGAAAACAGGAACTAAGCCGGAAATTAATGGGCTGTGCAAACACTTTTTTGTCCTAATCTACAGGTGACTCATGTTCAAATGATCCAAAGAATTAACATCAAAGAATTTGTATTCAGTGATTAGAAGTTATATTAAACCCATTATACAGGATATACTATGAACACTTTTTCATAACTCCATTTCAGCTTCATAGACCTTGTACTTTCCTGGTCAAAGATGTCAAACAGATTGAGCGAAGGGCAAAAAGAATAACTTGTTTGAGGGGCATTTATAAGTTGGAGCACCAAGGATGGATAAGAATATATGGATGAACAACTTCTTTATTACAGTGAGAGCAACATTTCGGTGTAGATTCTAACACCATTATCAAGCAAGTGATAACTTGATAATTGTGTTAGATCCTACACTGAAATGTCCCTCTCACTGTAATAAAGAAGTTGTTCATCCATATATTGACAAATAGGATGTCAACTATGCAAAAATGAATCATAAGAGATGAAATATGTCACACTGTTGGTAGTTTTCAAGTAGTTTCATAAAACAAGTTGATCTTGGATACATTCACTACATTACCTTCATTTCAGTTTCATTAAACAATTTCTTGACAAGATCGTCATCCACAGGTTTGTTGTCTTTGACTATCAGCTTCACTGAATCAATGAAGACTGAAAACAAAACCAAGAAATACAAATAAGAAAATGTCATCAGTGGTACTGTCAGTTTATTCTGTTTTATATGAATAATTTCCATCCCATACAAAAAACATGTTTTCGAAGCACAGGTTTCATTTTAACATCTCAAAACCAGCATATATGTGAAACCTGACACTGCAATCAGTATCCAATCTTTCAAGGTCCAAAGCAATTTTATTGTGCAATCTAAGCATATTAATTAAGTATGCATACTGTTTCATAACATGATCTCTTTTGATTTGGACAGTCAATGGCAGCTCATTAGAAGATGACAAATTCCCCTAGAACAAATCATCTGACAGTTAATTAATTTGATTATTAAAGACTAAGTCCAAATTGTTTCCATAGAAATCATGGAAAATATAAATGCCAAACATCTGCAAATAGCAAAAGGCACCACTAGAAAATTTGTTAGATATATCTGCTGAGTCTTGTAGAAAGATATTGAATGTTCTTTGAGGAGTGATCCGGAAACAACACCCACCCCTCTATTTTGAGACTAAGTCTGAATCATTTCCATGGAAACTGAGAAAAATAAAAATGCCAAAATCTGCGAATAGTAAAAGGCACGATTTTGGGATCTGTCGCAAATATCTGCCAAGATTTGCTGAACGATATTGAAATGTTTTTTTGTTGTGATCCTAAAGTCCACCCCTTCCCTTTGAGACTAAGCCCAAACTGTTTCCATGGAAACTGAGAAAAATAAAAATGACAAAATCTGCAAATAGCAAAAGGCACCACTTTGGGATCTGTCTCATATACCTGAGAAGATTTATAGATAGATATTGGTCAATTGTTTAGTTATTCTCCAGAAACTAAAATCCACCCCTTTTTGAGACTAAGTCCAAATTGTTTCCATGGAAATCCAGAAAAAAATGACAAAAATCTGTAAATAGCAAAAGTCACCACTTTAGGTTCTGTTTGATTTATATATGTATGTGCCAATTTTGTTGCAAAAGATGGAATGTTTTTTAGTTATGCTCCAGAAACGAAATGATGGACGAGGCGTTGACTTATATCCCGCCACATTACATGCCGGGAAGATCTCAAAATCTTAGTAGAAATTCCATGAAAAGTTTCAGCTTATTTGATTGAATATGTACTTACAAAATAAGTAGACCACCAGAAGCACTAGTCCGGTTGTATTATGATAATAATGACAACAATGATAATGCTTGTGGTCACAAAGGTTGAGACTGAAAAATGAAAGTAATATTATATTAATATATTTGAAATATCAAAAACTTAAAAAATACAAAAACAAATATTGTATCCACTTTCATTGTATTATTGTTATAGCATGGTACAATTAATGATATTTAACCAATGATGTATTTCTCTTTTTCATCATTAGGCCAATCTCGAAAGCTTTTGAAAGGAAAGGGACATATGGAAAAGTGACATGACAAGGTTCCAACAAGATGAACAGAAGAAATGTATATCACTGCAAGAATACTACCTCTCATGAAGCACAGCCTATTTTCCTGCAATTAGGAGAACATTACACTAAATAAATCCTTCGAGTTTTAACAGATGTCTTAATTGTCAGCCACCCCTCCCTTTTGGGACTAAGTTCGAATTGTTTCCATGGAAACCGGGAAAAATAAAAATGCCAAAAATCTGCAAATAGCAAAAGGCACCACTTAAGGATCAGTTTGATATATCTATCAAGTTTTGTTGAAAAATATTGAACGGTTCTTGAGTTATGCTCCAGAAACGAAGCCCACACATCCCTTTTGGGACTAAGTCCGAATCGTTTCCATGAAAACCGGGAAAAACAAATATGCCAACGTTCTGCCAAATAGCAAATGGCACCACTTTGGCATCTGCCTCACATATCTGCCAAGTTATGCTGAAAGATACTAAGAAGTTTTCCAGTTGTGCTCCGGAAACGAAGCCCACCCCTCCATTTTGAGACTAAGTCCTAAACGTTTCCATGGAAAGCGATAAAATAATAAATCACAAAAATCTGCAAATAGCAAAATGCACCACTTTGGGATCTGCCTCACATATCTGCCAAGTTTTGCAGAAAAGATTATAAGTTTTTGAGTTGTGCTCCGGAAACAAAACCCACCACTCCCTTTTGGGACTAAGTACGAATCGTTTCCATGGAAACCGGGAAAAATAACAAGAGTCATCAGAAGATGACATATGCCCCCGGCCCCCACATATTTGAAAGAACAAATCATCTGACACTTACTTAAAGTCCAGCTTGACTTTTTTTAAAACTAAGTCCAAATCATTTCAATCGAAACAAGAAGACAAAGTCATCAATATCCCCCGCAATGGCAAAATACTCTTCATGATTATGTCTACGAGTTATGGTTATGTCAAATATTTAGGTGTGTATAGAAAAGTGGAAGGAGAGTATTGAAAGGTTTATAAAGTTCTGCTCCAGAAAGGAGCACTATCACCAATTTTAGTCTATGTCAAACTTGTTGCCATCGAAATGCCAAAAATATTTTATTCAGAAATCCAAAACTACCAAAAGGCACCAGTACACCACCAGATCTATCTATGTGCCAAGTTTGGTGAAGAAATAGTGAACGGTTTTAGAGTTCAGCTCCAGAATAGAGCACTACCACCAATTTCAGGCTAAGTCAAAACTTGTTGCCATGGAAACGCCAAAAATATTTTATTCAGAATTCCAAAACTACCAAAACGCACCAGTACACCACCAGATCTATCTATGTGCCAAGTTTGGTGAAGAAATAGTGAACGGTTTTAGAGTTCTGCTCCGGGAAAGACAAATGTGCACGGTCGGAAGGATGGACGGACGGACGCACGCACGCACGCGCGCACGGACAAAGTCCATTTTAATGATGAGAAATATAAATGCCAAATATCTGTAAATAGCAAAAGGCACCATTTCAACATTTGCCTAATACATCTGCCAAGTTCTGTTGAAAGATACTGAACGCTTTTCGAGTTGTGCACCGGAAATGAAGCCCACCCCTCCCTTTTGGGACTAAGTCCGAATCGTTTCCATGGAAACCGAGAAAATAATAAATCACAAAAACCTGCAAATAGAAAAAGGCACCACTTTGGGATCTGCCTCACATATCTGCCAAGTTTTGCTGAAAGAAATTAAGACGTTTTTGAGTTGTGCTCCGGAAACGAAGCCTAACCCTCCATTTTGAGACTAAGTCCAAATTGTTTCCATGGAAACCGAGAAAATAATAAATCACAAAAATCTGCAAATAGCAAAAGGCACCACTTTGGCATCTGCCTCACATATCTGCCAAGTTTTGCAGAAAAATATTAAGAAGTTTTCCAGTTGTGCTCTGGAAACGGAACCCACCCCTCCCTTTTGAGACTAAGTCCAAATTATTTCCATGGAAACCAGAAAAAATAAATATGCCAAAAATCTACAAATAGTAGAAGTCACCACCTTAGGTTCTGTTTGATATTTCTACCAATTTTTGTTGAAAAATATTGAAAGGTTTTGGAGTTATGCTCTAGACAAAATGGGGCGTTGGGGTAGCCTAATGGTTAAAGCGTTGGCACGTCGCGCCGAAGACCCGGGTTCGAATCCCCACATGGGCACAATGTGTGAAGCCCATTTCTGGTGTTCCCCGCCGTGATGTTGCTGGAATATTGCTAAAAGCGGCGTAAAACCAAACTCAGTCAGTCTAGACAAAATGATTATGGACGGACGGATGGACGGACGGATGGACGGACGGCGGGACAGACGGACGAGGCGACGACTGTATCGCCCCGCATTACATGCCGGGCTGATAAAAATGCCAAAAATCTGCAACTAGCAAAAGGCACCACTTAAGGTTCTGTTTGATATAGTTACCAAGTTTTGTTGAAAAATATTGAACGGTTCTTGAGTTATGCTCCGGAAACGAAGCCCATCCCCCTTTAAGACTAAGTCCAAAATGTTTCCATGGAAACCGGGAAAAATAAAAATGACAAAATCTGTAAATAGCAAAAGGCACCACCTTAGGTTCTGTTTGATATATCTACTAATTCTTGTTGAAAAATATTGGACGGTTTTGAGTTACCGGTATGTTCTGGAAACAAAATGATTTAAGGACGGACGGACAGACGGACGAGGCATTGACTATATCCCCCCGCATTACATGCCAGGAGGATAAAAATACACAATGCCTAGATACCTTTACTATGATATTTCGCATATAAATTACAAGATATCTGGTAACCTGATACTACTACTTCTTGAAAAAACTAGTCAAGACCATGACTATTTTAAGTTAACCACCTGTGACCCATTTTCACGATGTTCAAAGATTGCAGGCCTTTACCCCCAAGATGTCATTTGAAAACTCACACTCAGGCACTCCAAACTGAAATAACTAAGGTATCTAGAGGTGCTACAGTGGAACTTTATCAAATTTCAAAGTACATAGAGAATACTACACAAGGTCTCCTTACATACAAATTATACGAAACGAGTGTCCTTCCTATGGTATCTGACCGAGCGGAAGCGAGGTCAGATAATATAGGAAGGTCACGAGTACATACAAATTATACGAAACGAGTGTCCTTCCTATGGTATCTGACCGAGCGAAAGCGAGTCACCCATAGGAAGGTCACGAGTTTCGTATAATTCGTATGTAATGAGACCGAGTGTGGTATTTTATTTATTACCCACATCTTACATGCATTAAATTGACAAAATAGCGTATTTTTGTTATGTTTTTGGTTTCAAACCAAAACCGGTTTCATAAAGAGATTGCGGAAGAGTTTGTACTGTAGTACAATATTTGCATGACGTCACACTGTAATGACGTCACTGCCTTGGTAACCGACGTCACGATGCATGTCAGTTGTCATCGCTTTGTACAGCCTTCTACAGTAAACTACTCCGTAGCAGTTCGTTTCTTGGTTTCCAGTTGCTTCATTCGGCTAACATCACTGGTGGAAACACTGCGTTTATGTTTTTCGACGGATATAATGTCTCAGTTCGACTCACAATTAAACACCGACACGGCAACGTTCGCAATGTTTACATTCCCACAATGCATTTAAGTTGTAGAATGAATGAATTCACGTGTTTGTTATGAATGAAAAAATAGTTACGTCAGAATATGACCTAATTGAGAGGTCATCGGTTATCCAATCAAATCGTTAGAATCTCAGGTCTAGTCGTTACGACACAGGTCAACGCGATACGACACTCGTGTGGAGTACAAGATTAGTATGCAACTACCCATACTTTGACCTCGTGGGTAATAAAGTGGGTTATCTTCTAAATGAAAAATCTTGTTTCAAGAAGAGAATAACAAAACATGAAGCAGATCATACTGTGTGGTGACTGGTGATTGTTGCAAAGTGACACCATTTTACTGACATCCTGATACTACAGTGACACTCACGGCAACAGAAGACTTGCCTCAAAATACATACACTACAGGAATAGTACATACACAACAGGATATATGGGCATCTTTGGGTAATGATAAGAGGACAGTATTAAATATTCCCAAAACGTGAATACATCTTCATCTTTTACATAGCCTACCTGGAAGTTTTACAGAATCGTCATTCGATGTCCTGCAATCTGATCCTTGTCCAGTCACGGAACACTTTATTGTCATCCCACTTGAACTTGGAATGGTCTTGGTTATCCCATCTGCAGATTCTGTATCTGGCTGGAGGCGTGTGTTTCCATCCTGCAAAGGTTGTATGATATTTTGTCAGGAATTCCAAACTTTCTTTCTTGATGAAGCGCCTTTCAGTATGAATTATAACCTACACATAGCATATCTCTAGCAAGCTCAAAAGAAGTGTAAAGGTTGCTCACAAGTATTACTTCAACATATGAAGTCAACTTTCTGATACCAAAGGATACAAACTTAATAGTTCAGACTTCATCTTTCCCACAGAACTAGATGCTATGGATACAGCCACAAGTAGGCATAGACATAAGCTCACTTACAATTTGATCTAAATGAGACCAAGTTTACCAATTCTGCAGATCAAAGGTGTCTTACGATAAATACGTACCCATAACACAAGTGTGAGATTTGTTGCTGAACCTAATGAGCAGGTGACAGTGAAGTCAAAAGTGTTTTCTTGCGTGGATGTAATCTTAACAGGCTCTTGCGTCACATCTGCAAAAAAGAACAAGAGAATCCTGTAGTTCTGAAACAGCTATGATTTAACTACATCATTCAATGAGCAGCAGTTTACAGAAATAGTCCAGATCATGAAGTACATAATGTACAATATGTGATTTGTATATGAGTCTATAACTGTAACTTCACCCCCAGCCAAACTTACATTCTCAGACTTGAAATAATTAAGGTGGAAAGGCAAAAGTCCCCTTCCAATTGACCCTAAAGCATTTATGGTGTCAGTACAGGGCTCACATACACTCAAAAATTGTTGTTGAGACAAGTGGCAAATATGTCAAGGTGACAAGTGTACCACATCATGTTCACAATCCTTCTCCACCAAGATAAACTGCTTGTCATTATGTTGAGTTAAATGTCAAGTCTCTTGGATCAATCTGATCCATTTCTCTTTATCTCTTTAGGTGAGTACTGTGGTGTTGTCTGTGGCTACCAGGGCTGACATGCACAAAGCAATCTTGGCGCTACAATTATCCTTAAGATCCCAATCTTAGGCTTCGGCTACAATCACCACCCATTGGCACAAAGCGACTGTAGGCTAAGATCATTGTAAGCTAATATTGCAACTTACAACGGATCAATTGTAAGGAGTTAAGATCATTGTAGTTTGTGACAAAATGGCATTCAAGTCAGGTTGCTTTTATATTGCATAAAACCGTATGAGTTGCCTCGACACTTCAACGACATAGAGAATGCACTAATGATTTAACATCAGAAACAGTTATTTGCGGTATGTATAACTATCGAGTGGATATTATAGAGTACTATTCCCATCCCATTCAATGTTGGAAAAGACGTGAAATTACACACCTTCTTGATACTCAAGTAAAGAAAGGTGTCTGCATGGAATTAGCAATGGCCGTGACATTTTCAGTAACTCAAGGGAAGCTAATCTTAGTTTATAGACAAGGTGGGAGAGGTTTATTGAAGGTAATTATTGATCACTGCACCCCTTAAGAATTAATAGGACCAGAACCCTTTGTTTCAATTGTGTGTGGGGGTGTAAAGCCCACAAGTAAGACAGAGTGTGAGACGGTATCAGCCTGCCATTTACTAATGGAAGTGGTAATACATAAAATCTGGACAAACCGATAGTGGGTCAGGGACCGAGATAACCGGGCCACATCAGATATTGGGACACTCTTTGTAATCTGTTGCCATTTCATACTGCCACCTCCTGTCTGTTCCGAGACAGTAAGAATTCAAGGGTCGGTCCGGTAATCAGAACCACAACATTATTTTTTCAAGGCCTAACATCTATACATATATGTGGTATTTTTGGGTAAAACATTTAGAAAAGAAAAATATATCCCCATGGGCACCAATTATGCTCCCACTTTGTGGATCTGTTTCTATAAGCATGAGTCAGAATTTCTGCTTGGGCGAGCAAAATCAAAACAAGGTCAAGATATTTAACCTAAGCTTCAGGTATATTAATGATCTGTTATCATTCATGAAAAAATCAACAATTTCCTTCCACTATAATTACCCACCTTAAATCAGGGCGACCAGTGAGACCACTTCATGTGTTTCATACTTAGATCTATGATTAAGAAGACATGACAAAAAACTTTCCACATGGGTAGTAGTATTATAATGATGGTTCTATTACAGGGTACCCTTTGGGCTTATTGTGGCTTAATTCCTCTCCCAGCGTCCAGTCAAAAATAGTCATTTTTGAGCGCAAGACATCGTTCGATGTTCCACCTCTTATTGACTACACAACTGTCTAGGCCTCGAGGTACCGAGTGGAGTTTCTTTATATTTGGGTCAGAAATTCCAAACGAGTCGAGGTCTAGACTGACTGTAGGTATCCCTACATGTAAGTTGTGACGCCATTGATGGCGATCCATCGTTTCGTGTCCATGGGGGACAGCGACGTCTTGTTGAGGGTGATCCCATAGATTTTGTGTTTGTCGCTTCTCAACGCATTCATTTGATGTTTGAACCTTTTATTCTTGAAGGGAGCTTGTTTGAATAGGGTGTGTTTGATGTGCTGTTACACGACATATTTCTTGACCCCTTTGGCTTGTTTCATTTTGTCATTATCGGCTTTCTTGATGGAATACATTTTTATTGGTCGTACTGTGTAGGGTGTGGTCTGGGGGGTAATCGCTCGTATCGTACAGGTGGATGGGTTTTGCCATGTCCCCATAGACATCCTCGGTACAAATTTCCATCAGCAACGAATCCGTGTCCCTGTACAACACTTTGTACCTGTCACCATATTGCGTTTTTAACTCCTTGTGCGAGGAGTTTGGATAAGTTGAGAATGCTCAAGCCCACGTAGACGCGTCGATTCAGTTTGATATGGCTTTTTGTCATCTGTAGCGCTGTCAAGTCGTTATCGAATAGTTTACTTCGATTAAAGGTCGGGCTGGCTATGAGTTTCTTGAGTTTTCTTCCTCGCGCTTCCTTAAATTCTCCATGGTTTTGCGAAATACCGAGTTGTTCATGAGCTTATACAGCTTTTTCTCAAAGTCGCTTGTGGCTTGTTTTCTTAATTCCGTGTTCAACCGGATGTAAGGTTCCATCCAGGGACTTTGATCGAATTTTAGAACTCAGTGTACTTTGGTCAGCTTCATGCCCAGCGATAAGTACAGCTGCAGATTTCGATAGTGCACGACATATTTTTTCTTGTTCATCAAGTTGGGTACGAGTTTTTCCACCTGAGCCAGTGTGTTCTCTTCCTACAATTCTCGTTGATAGTCGGACATCCAGTCTCGGTTCACCATTAATCGTTCGTGAGCCAGCGGATAACTGTTGTGGACAGCGTGGAGTTCCACGGGATAGTCCAAATCCACTTTGAATAGGAATTCCATTTGAAAGTTTTCAGGGATAGTCATAATGTTTTCCGGATTTAAATTCTCGCTGTTAACCCACTCGAACCTGTGCGTGGGTAGATACTGACTCATAGCCAAGCCATACAAGTTGTTAGCGTCGAGATAGAGGATGTGGTTGGAGGGTTTACTCGAGTTGTAGCCTTCCATGTATGGGTTGTTGGCTTTGGCATAGCGTTTTGAGACCATCGAGATCCCACTGCGCAGGCCTTTTTCGACAAACAGATGCATGTCGTAATCGGTTAGGAGTTCTAGTGTTGCTCTGGTTTTCTTCAAGAGCGCATCCCACGAGAGACCGGGGCTGGTGTAGTATTGTTTCAAACACGTTTTTCTAAGAGTCTTGAACACGTCAGCCAACAGCCGTTTTCAAGTCGAGATCATCATAATCGCCTAAATGTTGACAGCCTAGTTTCTCCCACACGTGCTGGGCGCAGTCGTAATCGTTCTGGGAGATGGTTGAGTTGGTTAAGGCACTGTAAATGCAGTCGATGGGCGGTAATCGCGTCTTCTCGAACTTAGACCAATCGTCCATGTACTTTGTACGGGTACTTTGTTCGGTCGTGTCGGGCGTGATGTGTTCAACCTGTTTGACGAGGGTTTCGAAGTCGGCGTAAATGACGTAGGGCACGGACATTTGATGTTTGTGATTGATAAATTTTAAGATATTGTCGTTCTCCTTAGGCATGTCGATTTGAACAGCAGTCTCTCCCACACCTCGGCAATCCTCCCCGTGCGATTCCAGCAGGTCGGCTCACGTGAAGCCATGCAGGCACCATTCGCAGAAATGTTTCTTTCTGGCATTTTTCGATTGGTCGTACAACAGTCGACTCAACCTTCTGATCGCCGCGTAGTGATATTGGTCCCCTTTTTCGATGAGGAATAAATTGATTCTGCGCACATCACTGGACCTGGAGCGGATTTGGTGCACGATGGTTTTGTCCCCTTCGTGACAGAACACGTTAATAGCTAAAGGGTTTTGCTTTTCGAATCGCGTCCAGTAGATGGGTGTGAGGCAAGAATTACCTTTCTGTTCGTGCGAGGCAGCTATGAGCGCCACCACTGCACAATAATTGTTAACTTCCTCCCCTTTGGGTTCGGGGTTGAGGATGGCCTTTTTATCTCTTAAATGTTCCGGCACCGGGAAGTACGATCCACCTTTGAGTGGTTTGTAATTCGCTATGTCGACATAAACGGTGTTGACGGTATCCACCACCCATCCTGAACCTCGATGCGTCCATTTTTCCAACGATGCTTGTATTTTTTTGGAAGGAGATGTTGATGGAGGATTCAATTGATTCTGGTTGAGTTAGGACTTCCTGCTTGCCTCTGAAATACGGTTCGATGTATTCCACTCTACCGTCCGACTGAGGTTTTTGGAGCGTCATCTTCATCGTCAGTTGGAATTTGATACTTTTCAAATCATTTAATTCTTCACGAAGTTTAGTGTCGACTAAAGGTTTGATTTTATCGGTATTGATATTAGAATCAAAAGCCATTTTCCAGCCTCGGAGACAGTTACCCAGAGCATGGTCTGTCGGCACGAATTGCAGTTCGACCGGCTGGGTGTTTTCCAACAAGGTGAGCAGTTGGGCTTTCCTCATGCGAGAATAACCCTCCAACCCACGTTCTTTAGCTCGAGCTTTGAGCTCTTTGGCGGTGGGGGGTTTAACCTGTGTCATGTTCACCAAGGTCAGCAATTCGGCTTTCCTCATGTGAGAATAACCAGTCAGTCCACGACTTTTCGTGAGAGTTTTCAGTTCTCTGACAGTAGCCATGTTATATACCATATGAATGTTGTTTCTCTAATTGGTTGTATATACCAAATTTAAATCGTCTCTAAAAACCCACTTTTTTCGTCTTGCCTATTACTAGACTTTCTTTGTTCAATTGTCTCTCTGTAAATAGTTTTAACTATTTTCTTTTCTCCTATAGTATTGTAGCGCCATGAGCGGGTATTAGTACCTTAATGTAGCGCTATATAAATACCCACATTATCATTATTATAGTTTAAATGAATGTTGTTTCTCTAATTGGTTGTATATACCAAATGAATTTAAATGTTAATCTTCCTGAGTCTCCTAAATTCACTCATAAAATCTGTATGTCTTTTATTGATAGGTTTCATTCTTACTTTGTCAG